TCCCACCGACGCAGCACCACAGTTTCTTTAGAAACTTACCCCTTTATTCATTAAATTATCAACCAACTAACATTTGTAATATTAATCCCTTTGTTCATGTGATGTTAAATAACTGAGCCTAGAATTGATCAATCTGTTGGTATATCTCAGAGCAGAGAGATATATATTGTAGCTGCTTTATCCCTTGGAAAATTCAATTGGACTAAAAATGTTTTGAAATAAAAAAGTTTTGAACTATACCAAACAACAGACATAATATGCTAAGGAGGACAGTGCAATGTTACACAATTTTACATAATTTCCTAATAAAGATAAAGTATAAAATATGGAAAAGAATATTCGTATCTTACTCTTTCATCTCTGTGGAGTTTATGCCAACGAAAGCTTCTCAACCTCCACAGACAAACGGCCACTTCTTTGAAGTAATATTTTAAAAATATTTTGGCGACTGTGGCTCCCAATCACACTGTATCTTAGACCACACGGGAGAATAAATATTAATTAGATGAATAAATAATTACGCCAGTTGCCAAGTTCGATTACGCGCGTAAAAGGTATTGAAGGAAAATTGTTTTGTTTCTGCTCCTGTCGTACCTCCGTGTGACGCTTAATTTGTTGAGTCTCTTAATTTAATGTGTGGATTCTAGTGAGTAATCCATCTCGAATGTTTGTGTATGGTGTAGATGGAATGATAAGATCTATCGCAAAGCAAACATTATTCAACGTCAAATACCTCGACAACTCAGAGGCCTACGCAGATTTCAAATTTTTCTCTTGCCGTCGTTCACCAGTGAAAATTTCGACGCACCATCGAATACAATTTTTTATTTAATGGGTCAAAATATCCCCGTAACTTTAGTAAAACGTCCTCGTGAACAGCGGGATGTTTTCTGCCTTTCGATTCGCCCATGCAGTGTGCTTTGTTCACGGTCCCAGCGTTTGAGATTTTACCGACAAAACACGGAAATCCTTTACTTTCGTTAAAATAGAAATTATCCTCCCTGATGAAAGGTTTTATATTTAGAAATCGTTCAACGAGTTTCAATTCTTTAGCGGGTCTTTTGACAAGTTCCTCTCCGCTAACAAAATGGAATTGCCTCAAAGGGAAATATTCCATCCACTTCGCTAAGTGCTCGGCATAGCGGCCAATGGAGACTTTGCTCCAGCTTTCGTCCACTTCGCCTTCCTCGTTAAAAACCATTTCTTCAAAACGTGGGTTATCGGGTTTTCTCTCTAACCCTTGGGTATAATCCGATATCGCTCGTGTTGTGGGGTCGCGTACAATCACGATGAGTTTAATAGTTTCAGACATTCGATACACTCTCTCAGGTACCTTCGAAGTTATAAAGTAACTTGGGGATTTCTCAATCGTGATCTGCTCCGGCAATGACTTAGGCATTTGTTCTCGATACCAGCTAAGTCCTTGTTCGTAATTTTCATCTCGATCGAAGAAGTGCACTTCACTGCTACACGCTCTGATACTCGGATGAATCTTTAAGATTTCAAGCAGCGCGCGTGTTCCTCCTTTCTTTACACCTATAATTATGGCGTTCGGAAGTCGTTTCTTAAATTCGTCATCTTCAAGCTCAAACTCAGAAACGTCGCTATCTTCACTATCTTCAATTCGTTCACTTTGACTCCTAAAATTCAACAAACGTTTCCGATCGCCCTGAATAGAGGAATAATTCAAGCTCTTGTCAACACCGCTAACGTTGCTAGTGTACTTGATGCGAGAGTTAAGCCGACTGCGGGACGCAGAGTCTTCCGGAGATCGATGTTTAATGCGTTCTTGGAACAGCTTTGATGTAAATTTTCTCAATTTGTCTGAAGTTCTGGTCGGATTTAATTTTGTTTTGAAATCCGACGACACTCCAAATGCCACGTGTTCCAAATGATTCGATTGTCGAAGTGGTCGTTTCGTTGCCCCTGACCTCACACGCGTTAAGATCGAGTGGTTGTTCTCATTTTTTAAGCCATTGAAGGGAGTGAACTTTACTGTATGGCTAATCCTGTGCACGTTCCCGTAGAGAATATATGTTAAAAATGCTGAAGATGTCAGAAGGAAAAGAAAAAGACGCTTGCTCCGGAATGGGAGCCTGTCAGACGAATTGCTCCGTTTGCATATCATGAGCTTCTCTCATGTCCTCAGCTGTTCCTCCAGCTTCCAGACGGAATAAGATTTAACCTTTAAGCGTCAAAACAACGTCGGTTCACCAGTAAAGTTTCGGCCTCAAAATCGAAGGAACTAACCACTTTTTCCGATTTTACCAGCGTATGTAAATAGATAGATAATTCGAGCTATGTGATTGGTTTTTGCAACAATCGATGTCATCGCCTTAGCGATTAGAGGCCCAGTATTTCAATCAGTACTTAATCATTCCTGGATATTGGCCGTGGTAGATTTGTTGACCTGATAACGAGTTAATTTGTATGCATGGCTACATATTTAGAGCGCCCTGCCTTCAAAAGCCGATTGACAATAATATAATGAGCTAAATACTGCCGCCTTACATAAAGAGGAAATGTAAACGAGCGGAAATCGAAATGAAATTATCTTTAGTTAATCGTATTTCTTACTGTATAGTATTTACAATTATTATCCCCCCAAGGCGCGCATTATTTTTTTAAAGTTTCTTAAATATTTTTTAAAGGAAGCGGCGTTTCTTCACAGTATAAAGCAATTGACTGCAACAATATACCCTCCTCAAACATGGTTACCGAAATAAGAGATCTTCACTAGGAAAAGTGGTAATTTCATATGTTATTCAATAAGTATTTATTTCCCGCCGCCAATTTGGAGAGAGGCCCAATCTCATAACATGATTTCCACCATGTTTTGATCGTGCCTCTCTGGCAAAGACACGCGGTGGCCGTTTTTAAACTTCTTCTAACAATAATATCACTGTAACTTGTTTGCTCTGTGTTCAACGATTGCACGCAAACACTGAACGTAGATTGATAGAGCTTGGGCGTCAACAGCTTAAGTGAATTGAACCAAGGAACAGTTTTTGGGAAACACCAACCCGGAAAATAAACCTGAGAGGAAACGAGGATGGCCAACGATATCGAAGGTTAGCAAGGATTAAAACTGAATGACAGCTGGTGAATTCAACTTTGATTTTTTAATGATTCGCAGAGCGCAGAGGAGCTTCTTTAGCATAACTGACAGGAACATCAAGATATTCAATGATAAAACTTTCGTCTGTCCGAGGATTTCTGCTATTATCTTGATCTCATCAACAAAAAACAGATCCGGTCGTCTTCCGTCATTCATTCCTCTTTTCCAGCCTACGCTCCGCCTACACAGGAAAAACTGGAATCGGTTGAGAATCGGTATCCAAACAGGGAAAAACAACAAACAAAAAAACAACAAGAATCTTACCGAGATGATCCGTTCCGACAAAAAATATGTGCAGATTCTGCCTTCTTTTATTACCTAGGACCTGAGATGAACTTAGTATGCAGCTTTCGTCATAGACCAAAATAGTGACAGCTCGGCTGTTTGAACGCGGTTTACTGAGGCATTTGCTGCTCGTTTCCAGTTTGAAGAGGGACAGAAATTATGAAAAAATTAAATTTCTACAAAAGTGCTCTGGGAGATCTAGATATCAGCTTACGACCAGAAAGTAAAACCCCTGCTAGCAGCACTAGGAGTTTGCGAGGTACAGTTACTTGAATTAGGACAAATCATTTTATGGTCCTTCGCGTATTTTAAAGATTTGTGAGCCCCATAGTCAGATTCATTAATGTTATCAAGGTCACATCAGTGACAAGCATGTTAAACGAAACTCGTGCAAATTGAGATAGCTTTGAAAATAAGTAAGATCGTTGTTTGTAACGGAGATGCAATCTTGTGAAATTTCCTGTAGTTTCGAACTTCCTATGTTGTCAGTTCATCAATTACGTTAATAATTTTGACCTTTTCGTGATTCTTGTACTTCCTATGGTTTTTGCATTTCCTGTTTTGTCTGGCGAACATTCATCATTGATGCGCCCTGGACAACACATTCATTATACTCTCACACCTCTCGTATTTCCGGTTCAAAGCTTTTAAAGTCCCTGTTACTCCATGAGACAGTCTTGGTATTAAAGTTGTTGAAGTTCCAAACGGGAAGAATCGAAAACCACATCCGATACCAAATACAAAAACCCATTCGTGTTTTTTACGAAAACTGAAAACCAAATCATAGAAAACGGAAAATCCGCAAATCGCGATATGAACACCAAAACCGAAGTTTTTTGGCACAAAAACCGAAAA